TGCAATATAGATTAGTTCTGTAGGTTAATCAACAAATATGAATACTCAAATGAATGTCCTTTCAAACATACAACTTTCTGATATGTTTTTTTAGAACAAATGTTAGTATTTTATCCCAACAACAATCTAATGATTAAGATTTGGAATTGCTAAAAGAAACCCAACGTTGTCTTGAGTTAATGTATGATTCAATATACCAAAAGTGAATAAACTTTCAATAAACATAGAAAAAAATAAATAAACTGTTAAAAGACATGCATTTTTCATCCATCGTTTTAAAAATTGGTTATTTATTTTGCCCAAAGAAATGAAGACGATCTTATGTGTTACATGTGATTACTATTAAAATAGCTTGTCAAAGTTATCATGAAGCACCAACATCCTTTACAAAGGATTTCAAAATTATTAGTACAATTTGTTTTTCAAAATGATCTTATTTAAACTAAAAATCTAATACAGAATGAAGAAGAAACTAAATAAAAGTTTTTTTGCACAACATATGGACAATTTGAGGACACTCTGATGTTTAAATTAATTGTATAAATTTAGAAGAATGTTAAATAGATTCATGTTTTTGCTAAACAGACACACCTTTCATGAAGAATATGGTAATCATGATGAATGTGGTTGGTTTTTATTGTTTGCAGATCTAATAATGGAGAAATGAATTCAGAAATCATTATTTGTTTTCATGTTGGTTTCAAGATGGGTGGGTCAATTTAGTAAAAACTTGGATCTATTTAACATTCTCCTAAATTTATTGATACAAACTTTAATAAATCATGTGGCTATTATTTATTATTTACTCATAAACATATTTATATTCATTGTTAAAAAAAAATAATCAAAAATTGTGCTAATATCATGCATATATATATATATATATATATATATATTCACCTCTATATATGTTTTAAGTTCTTCAAGAAAAGACTCAATAAGGGAAGAGAATGTTATGGCCTAAATATGCCATCTTTATTTTTTTGTTACATGTTTTTAATATCAACTTGCATACATACAAACATCTCAGAGTGAGCTACAAGTTTTATATATATATATATATATATATATATATATATCAATTATTGGTTAGTCATTGAACACCAAAACAAATAATTTATGAAATAGTCTACATGAATTTAGATGTGTTACTTGTAAAATGTTACTATCATTATGCAAGAATTTATTTATGAAGTTAAATATTTAACCAACGGCTTTTTGTGTTTATCACTTCTCTTTTTTCCTGCTAACACTTCGCACAACTTGTCTGCACATTTTTACAAAGAAAATAAACTGTATTGGAGACTCTTTACAAACAAAATAAAACGTACTGAAGACTCGTTACTGTGACTTGATCCCATCAGAAAACTTTTCTCTGTTAGTGATATTTGACACCAGAGCTCTGCTGGGTTCCGCTATTATGAATTTTACACTTGAAATCCTACAATAATTCATTTCATTTATCTGCGCTATCACAAGACATAGCAAAATCTACACAGTCACACATTCCTAAATATTCTATGAAATTTGACTTAGAACTTCACACCTCATACACCCATGGTTCATTATCTGCTTCAACACCTCAAACTAAGATTTACAGTGAAGGATGTCTGAAGATTCCATTCAAATGCAAGTAGTTGAGTCTAGGACAACCTGCTACTAAAATATTGACTTTCTTACACAAAGGCAAGCCATAAATGAGCTATGCAATAAAACTGGTATCAACACTAAGTCCCTTAAGTGTTCACATTTTTAAGGACATTGGAAGTGGGATTTTTTTAGAGAATTTAACTGGCTATCTTTTGCAAACCTAAAACCATTGTGGCATACTACAAACTATGATAACTTTAAAAATACAATATAAATAGTAACTTCCAATGTTGTCCCAAAGTTTAACTTTTACTCGAAATAGATGGTGTGTTCTAAATTGGCTTATTCGAACGTCTTGATACCACATTGAACTTTCTCAATGATACAATAACATTCTTTTTAAAATAATCGAACTTGAATTGTAACCCTACATATCGATTTTAGCAGCTATACCAAAGAAAAGAGACCTCACCCTCTGTTGGTCTAAAATCATCTTCCTGTGCAAAACAAAGAAACTGCCCTAGAGACTTGCCCATTGGAAACTAAGCACTGCACGACAGAGACAATATAACCATCACCATCAAACATTTCGGCACGTTTAGAAATCAGAGGTCAGAACAGATGGAGTGGATCCATCATGTGCTCTTCAATTCATGCATGCTTCGGGTGCAAAAATGTTAAGCATTCAAACATGCAGTCACCTTCTCTGCAGCTCTTCAGGGCTTCCAAAATCTTCATCTATAAACTTGAATGATCTCTACTGTACTATCTACAGAAAATATGCTTTACATCATGAACGCCACTGGAGACATCTCAAATAAAACATGTGAACTCATTGCGCATTCGAAATCTGTACCCAATCTCCATCAACCTCTTCTTTCCATAACGTTACCTTGCTGCTGGAGTCTGAAACAGCTAGTATGTTTCCTGTTAGGGACCAGCTTACCCGCCACACTGGAGTCTTAAAATCATTAAGAGTCAACGATTGCCACTGATCCCCGTCGTTCTTCTGGGGTTCACAATCAAATTACAAAAAAGAGTAATGCATAAGATGAAAGGGCAAAGAAAAATAAGAGTGACAACTGGGAAACAAGCAGAAGGTTCCGGAATATGATGATTTTTATAGCAGAATCCAATTTTACAACATTTCAGCGCCAAACAACCAAGAACAAACCAACACGCGCACAAACAACCGATACCAGAATTTACAAGAGAAATTATTCAACCTGAAATATTATAGCATCAGCTAAAACAGCCAAGTTGAAATAACATAAGAGCAATTTCGTGTCGCTATAGAAAAGGAAACAAAAACCTGAGTCCAGATGACGACTGTCCCATCCTGGGATGCACTAGCGATGGTAGACCTTCCAAGCCCAAAATTTGGCGCCCATCCCACATCGCGTACCCAGTCAACATGCTTTGACAGAGGAGGAAAGCAGTCCAGCTTCCAGCTATTGTTCTCAAATTTCCACACTTTCACGGTATTGTCACAACCACCAGACGCAAGCCTCTGGAGGAGTCTTGAGTCCGCTCCTATGGAAGTCTCCAGGGAACTCGCAGATGCCCACGAAACAGAAGTCACTCCAACGGGATGAGCCTGCTGAATTTTGGCCTTTTCCCATGAACCATCAGGTTTCAGTGTAAGAACTGAGATGGTTCCATCTGACGAACCACAAGCTAGACCCAGCCCAAACTCATGTGGTGACCAGGAAATGCTGTTCACTGATGATTCATGCTCCTGGAATACCTGAGGACACATAAAAGAGAGTTTTGTCAAAGGCAACATCCATTCCAAGTATATGAATCTGGCAAAATCAGCACTTAAACTTCACACCATCAGCAAAGATTAAACTCTAATATCTCCAGCTAATTGATCTACCTTTGCATAACACGTAATTCTGTGGGGATCACCGTACTCAAGTTAAGACATTAGAAAAATTTGGTTTGAAACTCCAAGTCACTGTCGTAAGGCATGTCCTGAAACATGGCACGCTACATTTATACATGTTTATATTTATATTCTTCTAAACAGCAAAGGGCTGGCTACAAATGACTACCGTTTACGCATGAAATTGCCAAAAATATAATGTAAGGAGTAAAAGAACCGTACAAACTGTAAACCAGTACGAGTTCCGAGAATGTCTAGAGTCGTTACTCTATACAATAAATCCCTACGAAATAAGAATCAAAAATTTACTGGGGCTTCGGCGTGATAAATCGAGATAGATATATTCAGGGGAGCTATTCACTAAGCCAGAACTAATATGCCAGACAGACAAGATCAAATGACATAAGTGACGAAGGAAGGATCCACTACCTGATCTTGATGCCATTCGTTCTCAGCCCCTTCTCTCCAAATGATAACTTTCCGATCATATGAACACGAAGCTAGAATGCTCCCAAACTTGGGATGCGCCCATGCGACCTGCCATACGGGACCTTCGTGTCCAGCCAATGTCGCCAGTGAATTCGGTAACACGTCCTCAGAGCTAATAGCGAAGACCTTGATCAACCGATCTGAAGAGCACGATGCCAATCGCTTTCCATAATAGTCCACGGACACATCGTGCACCACATCCTGATGCCCCGACTCCATCACCTGCTCTTTCCCTGCGTCCCTCACTTCCCCCGTGGTTCCCATCGCTCGAACCCAAAACTCGGACACGCGAAAAAATTACAGTAGTAGACTGCCTTGCACGCAATCGGCTATCTTGAGAGTAACGACGACAAGCTCCTAGGGGTTGTACAGAGCCAAGCACTTCCAGCAAACGAAGCTGGACTCTTCACAAAACAAACCCTAACGACATTGAAACTACGTTTGACGGAAGCGGAAATGAACGGGACAGACAAATCACAGCTGTAGCTTTAGCTTTATCGGAAAAGTCCTTTAAATTTTAAAGTACACGTTTGACCTTTTTTAGAACATAAGAGGAGGTTGTCAATCAGCCAATAGATTAAAGGCATGGCTCTGTTAGTCCCACTCTCTCAGCCAATAGGGCTCGTCGCATACGTGGGTGCACTTAAAAGGTGCAGGATCTTGCCATGTTACCTCAAAACCCCAACAGCTTGTAATGAGAAAAATAGACCTTCCTTTTTGCTGCAGATCTCTCAGTTCCAATACTTTGCTACAAATCTAATGCATATATTGTCATTTTAACTCTTAAGAAATGAAGACATTAGACAAAGCATAAAATTGGATTTTATGCAGATTTATTTAGATAATTAAATAACTTGTGTTCTTTGACATTGTTAATATGTTGCAATCTTAAAGAATTCATTACCACATAATGAGATGATAAATTGAATCAAAATTTGCTGATAAAAAAAATGTTTTATGTGTAATGTTTTGTTGGATCATTATCAAATAAATGAGGTGTGATAGTTTCCAAACTTTTTATTTCTATTTTTTATTCTATTTTTAATCATTTTTTATAATTCTGAAAAATACTTAATAATAATATAACTATATTTAAGTATTAATGTAGCAATATGATTGATGATTACTTAATTAACTCTTTTAAGTTTTGGTTTTTATTGGATCATCAAATTTGAATCAATGCTAAAAAGAAATATTATTTAATGATCATATTATTAATGAAGAAATAGGTGGTTAATAATAGAAAGATAACACCTCTTTTATTTGAAAAAAAGCCTAAAATAGTCACTCACTTGTATTAATTTCTTGGTTTCCTACTTATTTTATTAAAATACAAAGAAAAATCTATTATCAATGAGTAACATAAAAATGTTATATTTAATTATATAATAATATTAATAATGATTTACATAGTATATTTTTAAAATTATATTTCTTAATTTTTATACTTAAAAAATAAATGAATGCATAAATAAATAATATATAGGATAAAATTCTTCATTTTTTAAATTTTTGAGTAAGTTTTTAATGTTTTTATTAATAATTAATATTTTTATTATTATTTATTATATTATAATATTTTATATATATTTAAAATATATTAAATATATTAGTTAAAAATATTAATAAGAATAAAATTTATAAAATATATTATAAATAGGCTTATTAATACTAATATTTACTTAAATAAGAGGAGTAAGATAGAAGTAAGTAAATTTAATAATATATTGTAGAAAGGCTTTTCAAAAGGTTTACAAATGCAAATTTGACTTTCCAAGTATTTCTAGGTGATTGATAATTTGAAAACTAGGCTAACAAGTTGGCCACATGTCACATATGTTGATCACTTGGTTTACAAGTTGGCCACATATTGCACATATTAATTACTCGTAATACAAGTTGTTAATGTGGCACACATGTTAGAAACTTGCCTTGCAGCTTAGACACATGTTTTACAAATTGGATACATGTTAAATGACCTATTGAATGTTGCCACATAATTTCTTATTTAGATTGTATATATAGAGATAAAAATGAAGCATTTCTCATTCTTATCAAATCTTTTCTTACTTCTATTTAATTTCAAGATTATATAGCTTCTTTGTCTTTGGCAATAATTATTTTAATTTATTTTTAAATATAAATATTTAATCAAATTTTTATGTCATATTTCTTTAAGATATATTTAATTTATTTAATTATATTATTTTAAATTTTTTCCTGAAAAAATTAATTTCATATTCTTATATTATTGGAAAAAAAAAAAAAAACAAAACAAAACAAAACAACAACAACAATAACAACCAAAAGATAGATATGAATTAAAAGAAGAATATCTATTCGCATATGCAATAATGCTCGAAAGTCTTTGATTAAGATAGAATACAAGAAATGTATTGACAATAGTAAGGAAGGCCTCAACCTTGCTTCTATATATACAATCTACTAAAGAATTATGTGATAATATACTACAAATTATATGATATATGTCCAACTTGCATGATACTTATTTAATTTATAGAACAAGTTTCATACATGTATTTGTCATATTACAATCAAAGACATGAATCTCAAAGAACTAAAAGGTCAATATACTCTTATATCACTCAAAAAAGACTAGAACATCATTCAAAGATGATATAATATTAAACTAGAATGACTATTTTCAAAGATAAGAAGATTAGAAAGTCTTAAAACAAGATTAAAGACTATAAAGATGTTGATAAGAGTAAAAAAAGCTTCACTCTTGCCTCTATATATACTCTCTAAGTAAGAGCTATGTGACAATATTCTGTAAGATCTCTAACACATCTTGACTTTACTAGATACATGATTTATTTTGCAAGGCAAGTTATCTATATGTATGCTATATAATCAACTTGTTCTACAAGCTACTAACATGTGTATCATGTAACTAACTTGTTGACCAAGCTTTTAGCCTATCAATCAACTACAAATATATATAAAGTTAAAGCAATGTCTATGAAGCCTCTAAAAAGCTTTCCTAGAAGATATTATGAAATTAGCTTATTTTTATCTATTTTTACTTAATTATATAGATAAATAATAGAATAAATAAGTATATTTGTAATAATTATGTGAAATTTGCTTAAAAATATACTGGACATTTGGCTATAGAAGGAAAAATGGAATTTGTAACAAGATGATCCTAACAACTTTAATAGAATCTTAAACAAACTCCCATTAAATTTTAACAATGTTAGTCAATCTTTAATTAAATCAAAAAAATTAAAGAATTTACAAAAGAAATAAAAAGAAATAAAAAATTATTCTAAATAAAATAAATATAATATAAAAATATTTTAAAAATATTAAAAATAGATGTTTTAATTGAATCTTAATTTAATTCTCATGTAAACATCAACAAATCCTAATAAAACATTAAATCAATCCTAATCAAACTTTAAATCAAATCCTAATAAAATCTTAATAAAATCCTATCTAAATCCTAATAAAATTTTAGATAAATCCTAATCAAATCCTAGTCAAATCTTAAACCTTAATCAAATCTTAGAAAAATCTTAATCTTAACAAAATTCTAGATAAATCCTAATTACATCCTTATTAAATCTTAATCAAATATTAAATCTCAATTAAGTTTTAAATAAATCTTAATAAAATTATAAATCCAAATTATTAATCAAATCCTAAATTAAATCCTAATCAAATCATAAATCCTAACCATTGACCAAATCTTAAATCAAATCCTAATCAAATCCTAATCAAATCCTAGTTCCAAAATCAATCATAATCAAACTTTAATCAAATATTAAATCTTAAATAAATTCTATATCAGATTGAAAATTCAATAAATAATTCTTATTCTATTATTTTTGACTTAGAATTTTTAAATTTTGCATTAACTAAGTTAGCAATAAACACAAACAATTCAAAGAAGATTGCACATACGAATTCAAAGAAAAGTCCCCAAACCCTCTTGGTTATTAGTCCTTCTTCTCTAACTTGAATGTTGACCTTTCAACAAAGATTTCTTCTTATTAAACTATTTAATTGCTCCAAAATTTGAGTTGTGTGTAGATATTCAAGTCTAAATTTCTTTTACCAATTTTTGCTTCAATTGAATTGAGAGATATTGTCAGATCGTAAAATCCCTCTTTGACTCTAAATCTCAATTCTCTAAGACTATAATCTAAAAAAAACTCTTGTACTTTTTAATTAATCCTTTGATTAACCTAAAAAAAATTATACATATTTATAATAAGTAAAAAAATAAAGGGCTAAATTTTCACACATATACATGCTACAAAATTCAAAAAAAAACTAAACCCATCAAGTACATTATTAACTTTCAAAATCCTTTAAAATCTCAATATTAATTCAAATGATATGAAATTAACTCTAAAAAATCTCTTCTTTAAACTCCCTTCAAATTATACTCTCCAATCGAAAAAAGAATCTTAGAAACAACATAAGTGCTTAGTTTTGTGCATCAAGGTTTGATTTTGATCCTAGTTGCCAACTAATCCTCTTCTGATATCAATTCTTAATTTTTTAAGTTAATTTTTGCTAAAATCAACTCATATTTTTTTCCTAAAATATGCTTATATCTATTTTCTTTTTAATTTACTTTATTTTACTTTATTTATAGTTATACAAAGTAATTAGAATCTATTTTCATCAAAAGTAGTTCTAACAATATAATATTTTATTACCTTTCTATGTTTTATTTATATTTTTCTACTATATCTTTTAATTAGGCTCTTTTGTAATAAAACACTTTCTTTCTTCTTTCACCTAATGGTTATATTGCTACACAAGAATGCTACATTCAAATTTGTGATACAAATAGCTAAATATGTAACATGTGGCCAATTTATTGGTCAAGTTGTCAACCTACCAATTACTTATAAATACATATAAAGTCTATATAGCTTTTAAAAAGCCTACTATCAAGATATAATTAATTTAATCTATTTTTTATTTTATTTATTAATTTAAATAAATATTTTAATAAATATAGCCATTTACTATATTATTATCATATAAAAAATTATAATTAAATTAACTTTATATTTGAAGAATATATATGAAATAAAATTTTATCTACATTATTATATAAAACATATAGTTTCTTCTCTAAGTATATTAAATTTATAATCCTAATACTAAACCTTTAATCTTAAATAATCTTTAAATCAAATTTTTATTTCTTTGTATATTTTAAAAATATAATTTTAATCTAAAATTTTAATGAAAATATGATTAATTTAATTTAAAATTCTTAATTTTAAATTAAATTATTTAAATAAATCTACTTTCAAAATTGCATACATAATTAAGTGTAATAATAAAATTTAGCTTTTAACTCAAGTTATAAGATTTTCTCAATTAAGAATTTTTTATAATTAGTAGTGCAAAGTAGAAGTAACAATAGAAAAGTACAAAAAAAGAATAAAAAAAGTGAAATAAATATAT